AATATAATAACCAAAAAAATCATTTTGGGGTGAACCATCCCTTTAAGGCCATCTGTGATGGTGAGATCGTGTGAAAGAGAGAGAGAGAGAGAGAGAGAGAGGGAGGAAGAGTGAGATTTTTATAAGTACTTCAGGAGGACGATGGCATCGTCTATCGGCCCAACCCTAGAATATAATAACCAAAAAAATCATTTTGGGGTGAACCATCCCTTTAAGGCCATCTGTGATGGTGAGATCGTGTGAAAGAGAGAGAGAGAGAGAGAGAGGGAGGAAGAGTGAGATTTTTATAAGTACTTCAGGGCTTTGGAGAGTAAGAAACCATAGGGTGACGCTACTGTGAGGTGAATGAGGGGTAACTCGCTCCTCAGGGGGTAAAAGTAATGTTCTATAACCCTGAACTGACATGCTGTTTTATACAATAAAACAGATTTTCCAGCTCTGACTAAGTTCATTCTCCACGCCGCACTCGAAGAACATGTTGAATGGATGTAGCACAAGGAAATGTTTGGCGGCTTGACTCTGTGGCCGAAATATGATCTGTGAGTTTTAGACTCAAAACTCTGTGACTGCAACATGCAACTGAGCTATCAAGGTCACTGTGGAGAGAGGAAGAGAGGTGAGCCGTGGTTTGCTATTACCAAAGCACCCCTGGGAAAATACCGGAAGCTTTCAGTCGGCACTTATAATTTTCTTTTGAAGAGACAATGGATAATAACCTCAGTGAGAAATGACAGGCTTTACTCCACCTAGACGGCAAAGGTACATGAATCTGACTCTATGAAAAGGCTCAAACAAACAAAGCACTCTTGACTTATAGATTATACACAAAGCACCTGTGTAAACATAACATACTCATCCATGAACATGACCAGAGCGCTACATAAGCACATAATCTAGTCAACTGATAACAAACAAAACATATAGCTCTATAATTACCAATGTTGAATATACAAGTCCCCCTAATGTGTATTAGAATGTTTAAGTGATTCTAACTCTCAACGTTAAAATCATATTTCAAGAGTAATTTCTCCAGTCCTGCCCACTAATCGGGACAGTTTTGGAGATTACAGAGCGGCTCCCTGCATCGGTTCTTGCCAGGGTTTTATAGATGAAAGGCTATGGTGAGATTTTGCAGAGAGAAACAGAGAAGGTCCCAAGCTCTTGAAATCACTCCCTTTTTACATTTCTTTTATTTCATCTCCAGTCCTTAATGACACATCACATGCAAATGAGAGTGTGGTGTCTGGGAGCGCATTCCGTAGGAGTCATTTTTCACCATTTCCCAAAAAAAACAGAAAGTAAAAGTCAAGCGAGCCAGTATCGCTGTAGGCAACGCAATGCATCAAATTGGTTTACAAACCACACTGAGCGTTTTAAGTTACATAAAATACAAAACAAACCACACCATTAAATTCTACATAAAATTAAGATAATAAAGCCTCTAGAAGCGTTTGAGGCAAGGCGATGATGCTTTTCACTATATGACTGCTAAGCAATGTAAGCAGTTGTTTGATGAGATAACTAACGTAAGCATGACTTATTAACTATTAATCGCCAGGCCTGATTCACAAAAACCTTTAGGCACAGGCAAAACATCAGAAAGAGATTGTGATGGTACATTGGCTGATGTACCATTATAGCCCTTGTAATTTGAGTATTTGTATAAATAGAAGTAATATGCTATGATTTTGTCAACTACCCTTATGGCGTATTACTACTTTTGATGCTAGATTTGCACATTCAATTCTAGTTTAGAATTATCTCTATTAGTGGTCAACCAAGGCTAATAATGATACTTAAAAGTAGTAGCAATAAAATCATGCACTTCTTCAGGGATTTTAGGTCATTTGGATCTTATTTACTTATGTATACACTTCTCTATTTCACCATTATTTGTATAAGCAAATAAATACACTAACTTTTGGAACTTTATTACAGTGGACATTACATAAAATCCCACTATTGTCTGTCAAATTTGGTATATATATTTAAAAATGAATTCATAAGCTTCATTTTTGCAGAATTCTAGATATTTTTATTTATTCAACACATATGTTTAAAAAGTGCTCTGTATTAGGGCCTTTCCTATTCATTTTCTATGGTCAGTTAATTTTGACCACAAAACAGCCAATGTGCTTTTTTTTCTATTAGACTCATCAAACGTTTTTTTGTTTGTTTGTTCAGATTTGTCAAGTTTTGAACAAAAACAAAACAAAATTGGTCCAAAATTACAGACAAATGTAGGGTTAATGTAGACATAGGCTAATGCTAATTAGGCTAATGCAATTAAATTAAAGCAGTTGAGATATTCTCACACATTGCCAGTAAAAGTACATCTTTGACATATTTGATTACAAAAATTGTGCATTATAAATTGACAAAGCTGTTAGTAGTCTTTCTGAGGAATTCACAGAAATAAAAGCTAACGACTTCCAAATAGCTAAATATTGGCAAATGTATTCCCAGCAGGCACATGATGTCAATATAACATCAGGTTGACGCTGGACATGACGTTGGACAGATGTTGCATTTTGGTTGAGAATGAAAATTGGGTTGACGTCAGTATTTGACGCCAATTTGATGTTGACTTAACGTTGGATTTTGGTTACACAAACCAAAAACAACAAATATCAATGTCAGCTGATGTCGGTATTGGGCATCAATTTAACATTGACATTAGACGTTGAATTGACATTGAATTTTGGTCACCCGACGTCACATCCGAAATGTAACCAAATATCACCGTCTTATGACGCTGTTATCACTAAGCTCTATGCCTGAACAAGCAGATAGATAATAAAACAGCTATTTTAATAACCAACATGTGATGATGAAGAACAATGAGTAGCTAGAGGATTGTTAAAAGAGAACTAGAGAGTAATGCTAGCAATGATAGCAGAAGGAAACACAAATAAAGTGCTAATGCTTCAGACACCACTTCCTCTCGGTCTCAAGGACATCTATCATCTCATGTGATGACATTAAGAAATCAATCCAAAGAAAAACGGCAACACTGCAGCGATATTTGATTCTAGCCTTCCTGGCTGACTTTGCGTGACAAAAGCAGAGCTCAAATCGTGTATGTTTGGCCATACTAAATAAATTAAAAGCATGGTTGGAACCCAAATAGCAGCGCAAGGGGAAAGAAGATTGATCCAGTTGAAAGATCAGAGTCCTCACAGGCGTCAGAGGAAAACAGGCTGAGAGCTGCCAGATGAAGACATCGAGAGAACAGAGCACTTTACAAGACCTCTCTGCAGGAGACGGGGGATTTAGGACAGGTAAAGTGTGGAAAGTGCGATGTTCTCAGCAGGCTAGAACTACTCTAAATATGTGATCCACGTCTGGAGGGCAAGGAATAGAAGTGCTACTGTGTTACCGGAGGATTTGTAGAGGTAGAGCGATGGAATCAAGTTGATGGCAGGAAAAACATCCCAGCAGAGCCGTTTTCCAGAGGTAACAGAGAGGTCACACTCACAAGCTGGTTAGACTCAAAGCTTAATATGTCAATAATCACTGGTTTCCCATTTCAACTGACAACTAGAAGAAGTCTCACTTGGATTCTCGTCCATCCTACATTGACTGACAAGTGGATCACAATTCTGTTTGGGGGAAAAAGCCTTTATAATCCTTATCGGCAATTGGAATGACTCATACAAACACTTCATTATACTTCTCCACCCATTTCCCCTATCAAACCTCCTTCACCAGATCAACACGTCTAGTAACCCCTTGAGACAGACTTCAGATGTGTGTTTGTGATGCTGTAACCTTGACAGGGTTCTTCACATGTTCCCTCCCCCCTACTTCCCTATTTTTGTCGTGACCCCGGTCTATCAACTACAAAAAAGAAATCACATAAAATGGATCAAAGGGGTTTCGGTAAGTAAAACTTCATTATGCAAAAACATTTATTCCTATAGGAGTGGTTGCCGGGATGCGCCGATCGTCAAGTTCATTTCCAGGCTAAGTAAGTCAGTTCTAAGCTGTGCCGGAGGCTCTGCCTTATTCTGATACATCCCATAGAGACAGCAGCTCTCAAAGACCAGATCTAGACCGTTTTAGAGGGATGTTTACATCTTTATCTCATCATATGAAAGCATATATGTGACCCTGGACCACAAGACCAGTCTTAAGTAGCACAGGTATATTTGTAGAAATAGCCAACAATACATTGTATGGGCCAAAATTATAGATTTTTCTTTTATGCCAAAAATCATTAGGATATTAAGTAAAGATCAAGTTTCATGATGATATTTTGTAAATTTCCTACCGCATCATTCCTAATACATCAAAACTTCATTTTTGATTAGTAATATGCATGGCTAAGGACTTCATTTGGACAACTTTAAAGGTGATTTTCTACATTTTTTTTTTTGCACCCTCAGATTCCAGATTTTCAAATATTGTCATATCCCAATAAACCATAAATCAATGGAAAGCTTATTTATTCAGCTTTCCGCTTTGATGTATACATTTAAAATAATTGACCCTTATGACTGGTTTTGTGGTCCAGGGTCACATATGTGCATAAGTCTTGAGTTTAAAGCTTTGAGGGGATGTTTATATTTTTTTCATCTCACCACTTGACATTAGAAACGTGCCTGTGCATGCATGTTATCTATCTATCTATCTATCTATCTATCTATCTATCTATCTATCTATCTATCTATCTATCTATCAGCTGAGAAGAGCTACATTAAAATCACAACTAATATGCAAAATTACAGCAGCATTTGTCTAGTCTAGTAAGTTATTTCAGAATATTCAAAATATTTATAAACGTGTCTATAAATAATACAAAATGCAAATACATATTTAAAAGTGAGTGTAACAAAAAGTCAAACTTTTAGGGTTATATGCCATCACATGACTTAAAAAAAATGTTTACCAAGTTAATGTCCTTGAACAGCAAAGATGGCACTAGATACACAATCTATTCGTATCAAAACACCCGTGTACGTTTCTCCGTAACGTTAATTCCGTGTATAAACACTCACCTTTGAGAATCACAGGGTCAGTCGTCCCTCATTCAGCCCGCTCACCGCCCGCTCTCTCCCACAGCAGATCCGCTGACTGATCGAGCTCGCTTCGGCGCGATGCTTTGAGCGGAGCATCTCTCTTCTGCTCAGTGCTCACCTCTCTCGTTCTCTCTGATCCGGGATGCTGCGGTTACTGTGTGGTACCGGTTAACGCTGACCCCTGCCGGCCACTGTGGTGAACTGCAATCAGAGTACACTTGCGTAACACGCCGTCACCAAGCAGCAACAAAGACCGATCAAGTTCAACAATACGGTGTTTTGAAGTAATGTGTTTTTAAAAGCTTAAAATTGGTTAATTAAACTAAATGTAATTTATTTAAAATAATAAATATTATAAAACATAAAAAATAAATTCCAAAATGTATTTTATTTACAGCATCAAGTTGAAACAGTAGGTATACAGTCATTATGCATATGCGCCACATTTGAAATGGTCCAAAAATGAACACACAAAATGACAAAAACAAAACACTTTAACACATTTTAAATGCATTGTTTTTTTCTTTTTTTTGTAATAGTGGGTATATCTTAGATCATCTGGCGCTTTGTTATTTTTTACTACTTGCCTCATTACAAATATATTATTCATATTATTTATTAATGTGTTATGCAACTATTTAAACAGCTGATCATTTATACATTATGTATGCATGTAATTTGATTCTAAATCGTATCTGCCAAGTTTCAAGAGTTAAAAAAAACATGTGAAATGTCTTCAGGTTCAAACACCAACTAAGCCACAATCACAAATAAGAAAACATTTTAATCTACTAAAACCTTTGTAACCAAAAATGTGAACAAGGCCTCTGCACATTACAGTTCTGAGCATTAAAAAGAGCATTATTTAGTCATTTACAAATCACTTAATTCATGGAATATCAACAAAGAAAGAGAATATTGATTGCTTGAGAAGTATCTAGTCTGCATGATGCATCAATTTACTGCTTCAGCAGGTTAGAATATATGAAGAAGTTTAACTAGAACATATAAATACATATTCTTAATATAAATTCATAATGTACATTCTAGACTAAATGCTCCTGAGGTCAGACTGGATGATGGAGCATTAAAACAAAGTTGAAAACATCTGATTGGTTATCACAGATGGCAGTCATGCTCCTAAAAAAATAAAATAAAATCTGGGATACACAAAAAAACATCTATATTTAATTCTAAACATTTGTGATGCTCATTATGCAATAATGCTAAGTTTTTAACATTTAACATAGCCAAGATTATACTCACCAGCTTTTCTACCTCTATACTACTATTATCAATTTATGATGGCGGTAACTCAAAGGCCATTGTCAGATGAATAAAAAAGAGCAATATTTGACTAATAAAACCTAACTTTGACTAGTTTAAGTAGAGACCTAATGTGACATAAGTGATTGCTCTTGGTAATACTAGCGTAAATAAATTTACACTACTGGAGAAATTTGGATATTTGGTTAACCAAGGATGTATTTATTTGATCAAAACACAGTAAAAACAGTAATATTGTGAAATATTATTACAATTTAACATAACTGTTCGTGGTTTGAATATATTTTAAAATGTAATGCATTTTCAGCAGTCATTACTCCAGTCTTCGGTGTCACATGATCCTTCAGAAACCAACGTCAATATGTTGATCAGCAGAAACATTTCTTATTATCATCAATGTTGAAAACAGTTTTGCTGCTTCAGATTTGGGTGGAAATCGTGATACACTTCTATTTAAATGTTTAGGGGTTTAAAAAAGATTTAAATATTATTATTTTTATCAATATATGGATGCATTAATTTGATCAAAAGTGTTTATAATGTTACAATAAGAATTATATTTCAAATAAATGCTATTCTATTTAAATTTCTATTCATCAAATAATCCTGGAAAAAAATGATTACGGTCTCCACAAAAATGTTAAACAGCTGTTTTCTACACTGGTAATAATAATAACAACCATGATTAATAATTGAGCACCAAATATTAGAATGATTTCTGAAGGCTGGAGTAGTGGCTGCTGAAAATTCAGCTTTGCCATCACAGGAATAACTTACATTTTAAAAGATATTCAAATAGAAACAGTTATTTTCAATTGTAATAATATTTCACAGTATTAGTGTTTTGCTGTATTAAATAAATGCAGCCTTGGTGAGATAGTGGCCTCTATTTATATTATTATTATCTTTGGTAGAGTACCTAGAAATGATTTCAAAACTCTTTAGACTAATTTTTAATTAGTAAAATATCTTGACTGACATAAACACATTGGTGTATCACAATGATTCATGTCCAAACACCTTAAATGACCTAAACATACCCCTATTTATCAACTTCTCTCCAAATATCCTTAAAAAATGCCTGCTTATGCAACATTAAGAAGCAGGCGAAGAGGCAGACTCAATCTGCATAGCCGACACAGTAGCCAGCACTGTGACAGATAAAAGCAACTAACCCTGGTGACTGCCCTGCCACCACACCACCAGGTGGCAGTACTATCTAAAGGTCTAATCTAGGTGGACCAGCAAAAACCTACAAATTCTGGATCAGGGCAGTTCAAACCAGCCAGAAAAGGTTTCTAAATGGGACCACTCAGACACTACAAATTCAGCAAAAAAGCCAAGCATGATTTGATTTCCTCCTTTGTAAAGGCATGTTCAGATATGTAAAGCCCTAAACACTGACATCTAAGATTTAGATCAAGCAACTCTGGTTTAGTTTCAATTGCAATAGTAAGACAAAAGGCACAAGTTCAGTTAGATCATTCAATAAAAGCAGCCGTCAACATGAAATACTGCAGCTCACAGATGCCTACATTGTTTTTTTTATTCTGCAACCACTTAATAAAAGGTCCTGTGCCTGTTTTGGTTTCTTCAAGATTTCTGAAGTAGGAAACGAAACCCTTGAGTTGTGTTTTAAGTGACTCTGCTCACTTAAAACTCTTAGACTTCTTGACAAGGAAGTGACATTGTTAAATGGGTCATAGAGCTCCATCTGATTCGATTCCAATGGCCTGTGCTCCTCACAACCTCCCGGCGGTGTGCTTTCATGTAAAGTTTGAGTAAATAATGTAACACTGTTCCACATTAGAGATCTCCGTCCTCATCACCCCGTGATCCATTACAGAGGAAAGCCTCCTTTTCCGGGGTCACACTGTCCCTGTTTAGGCCGCGGGCGGGTTTGTACACACTCAGTTCCTCGTCCATACTGGAATGGGCCAGTGTGGCTTCAGTACTGTGCCAGATTCCATAGCCAAAGTAGATTATGAGTCCTGGAGAGAACAGAGGGATAATGGAACAAATTATTGACCGCATACGTGCCAAGTGCTTTTCGGGAGCCCCACCAGACTTTTGTAATTGTCAAATGACTGAAAGCCTTTATTTGATCTTTAAAAGTAGCAAAACTCGTTTACGAGTGGCCGGACCATATTTCATACGCATAAGGTTTTTTGACAAGCATACTGGCTCGTGCAGGAGAATGTGCTGTACCTATAGACATCCAGATGGCGAATCGGACCCAAGTACCCCTGTCCAGCTGCATCATAAGGTACACGTTGACAAACATGCTGACCACCGGGATGAATGGGAGTAAAGGAACCTGTTGGAAGACATCAAAAAATGACCGGAATGTGTAATTATTACACATTAGTCAGTGAGCGTCTACAATAAAGAAATGTCAAGTTCTTAGAAATGTACTAATTTATTTATGTTTGCTTGAGTGTTACTTTAGTATTATTCCTATACTATTATAGTATTTATTCATATTTTTAATTTTGTGTTTTCATTTTACTTTTAGTTGAAGTTTTAGTAATTTTGTGCTTGCTTATTTCGATTTAGCTTTATTTTTATTTCAGTTTTAGTAATTGAAGTACTTCAACTTAAACATTTAATTAGTTGCCTAAACATTTTTCATTTTCATACAAGTTTTAGGTTTTTAATCTAACATTTATATTTTCTTTTATTTCAGCTTTATTTCAGTTACCGGAACTATTTTAGTTTACAATAACAATGGTTGGTTTCATGTGGCTTTGAAAAACCTTTTTGAAGGAATTTAGAAGAATATTAATCTTATTTATTAAAGTAAAAAAGTATTTAAATGAGGTTCAAATATTTAGAAGTTAAAAGACCAAGTTCAAATATATAATGAAAAACTATATGTGACCCTGGACCACAAAACCAGTCATAAGTAGCACAGGTATAATAGCCAACAATACACACTGTATGGGTCAAAGTTATACATTTTTCTTTTATGCTAAAAAATCATTAGGATATTCATGTTCCATGAAGATATTTTGTAAATGTCCTACCAACAGCGTTTGCTCTTCAGGGAAATCAGTCTACAAATACTTCAAAACACTTCTAATTTAATAGTCTGGTGTTACACAACGTCTGGGATTTAGGTACACAGGGCTTTATCAATTCACTTAGTGTTAAGGCACGTTCACACCAAAATGTGACAACTATAAAAACAACTATAACGATAACTATACTAGCGTACAAACCAAAGTACAATAACATTCCGTTTATTATAATAGTGCGCTACAGTTTTGTTGTATGTCGCTTTAAAAGCTAGAGTGCTTTTAAGTTGAGTGGACTCTGATTGGCTGTTAATATTTTTTATCGTTCATCAACTGAAAAAAAAAAAAAAAAAAACCACCCGCCTCAGATGACCACATAAACAAACAGAGAAATGTTTTGAAAGCGCCACATAGCCACAGCGTTTGCTCTTCAGGGAAATCAGTCTACAAATACTTCAAAACACATCTAATTTAATAGTCTGGTGTTACACAACGTCTGGGATTTAGGTACACAGGGCTTTATCAATTCACTTAGTGTTAAGGCACGTTCACACCAAAATGTGACAACTATAAAAATGACTATAACGATAACTATACTAGCGTACAACCAAAGTACAATAACATTCCGTTTATTATAATAGTGCGCTACAGTTTTGTTGTATGTCGCTTTAAAAGCTAGAGTGCTTTTAAGTTGAGTGGACTCTGATTGGCTGTTAATATTTTTTATCGTT